TCTAAATTCAAATGGCACACTGACGATTTTAGGAAAAATTACCCAGTATCTATAAGGCCATAGGAATAAGCATTGGTTCAGTATGATAACTCTTACAATAAACAGCCTAGTTGGTAGGCGGTCAGTGAAATTTAACATGCAAGCATGCATGCATGGCGCTCAGTGCGTGCAACCTCCTTGGAATGGCGAGAGACCAATACCCATCTGCACATCTGAGGAGTTGGAAGGCTTACTTGCTCTCGAAAAGGGCCAAGTCGACGATTCTGAACTGGGTCTCTAACCGAATGGTGGGCTGACATTCTTGCTCGTGTTTTCCGAAAATCGACTCTTTGGGTTTCTTGCAGTTTACGGACAGCTGATAGATGGCGCTAGCAAGGACGCCAGAAAAAAGACGGTCATTGTCGGAGTCCAAACTAGCCCCAGCTCCAAAATCGTCTGTGTCGCCGATAAACAGAGGTTCGCTTCTAGAAGAAAGTCTGTCTTTGCAGTAAGCGTCCATTTTTCTGCTATACAAGAGCAGAGGAAGGTATGCTCTTACTTATTTATGCATGGTTTGTAGATTCATAAAAATACAAAAGCCCAGATAAATAAAAGAAAATAATCTCCTTTCAAATTAAATGGGTTATATAAGTGATATTTTATGTCTAAACGTGGATAGATTAGACTCAAGTTCTCGTTAACTCAAGAGGCGAAATATCCTCTGAGCAATACTGCGATAACTTTGCTAAGCATCCATAAAACTCGATGACCAAATTATGTTTTCAAAATAATCACGTAGAATAGACGAAAAATTTTATCCTCGATATCCGTATCGTAATTATTTTATTTCAAGACTTTATCCCTTGCAAATAGACGGATTTATTAGAACTAAATTTATAGACAAGCTATTTTCAAGGCCCACATCCGCACCATCCAAAATATAAATGCGTAATTTTATTATAAATCAATTAGTCAAACAAAATGAGTGAATAAGTACATAGAAGGATTCACCATGGTGGACAAACGGCAAAGGAAAAACGCAAACTTAAAAACCTCATGGAGGGAAGAAAATGAGTCAGAAAGTTCATACAAATCCATTTCGATAAGGGTTCAAAATATCCTCAAATTTCCCAAACAGATCACTCAGAAAACTTTTTGCATTAATGTGAAAAAGCAACGAAGTATATAAGAATCATAGAGGCTCTCTTAAAATTTTTAACTTCAAAAACAAAAATAAAATTGATCAATTAGGATTGGGGCAGTTGTACGAATAGGATACAATAGCATCTGCTATAATAAAGCATCCATTCTATGGGCGGAGCCTGCGGAAGTCAAAGATACAAGAACTTTTTCCATATTGGCATACAACGGCATAATATGAAAGATAACAAAAGTACAAGGAAAACTTTTTTGTCAACAAATAGTCAGGAATAGTGCGCTGCTTAGTTCGTTACTATTTAGGCTTCCAGCCAGAAAACATGGTTACCAAAGTATTTTGCATGCCTATTAAACATATCTTATTCTCTTGTTCTGCAAATTATGATGGCGGAATCTAAACAAATTACCGACTCTCTACAATCTCGATAGACCTCTAAAAACAGTGCTTGTTAGAGAATGTTAAAAATCCTGCCCTCGAGATTAGAAGAGTTCTTGAAATCCAAACAGAAATGGCTGACAAATGCATGAAATTACTGCTAAATATTTTAAACACCTGCCTAGAATTCTAGTGGGCGCCTCTAAATGTCCCGAGGAAAGAATGCTCCCTAATAATGTCAATCCAAGGTTAGAAAAAATAAGAGGCCTTGTTTTTTAAATTAATAATAAAACTTAGGAGCTAAATGAAAAGCATCTCCTATGCAACTAGGCAGAGAAGTACGTACTCTACACGCCATCTTAGATGAATTGATAAATTAGGATTTTATACATGTGCTCATTAAAATGCTACGTGTTAGTGTTCTTTAGAGCAGTGCTTTAGTGCAATATGTGGTTCTTAGTCCAAATTCTATCAATCGCAATGGTTTTATGTCCATATGTGTTCTCTGGGTTGATCATAAGAAAAACTCGCTGACAGATGAAAATGCAGGAAGAAAAGTGATATACTGTGCAGTCTGCAAACTCAGTAAACTTTATTAAAGTTGATATTAGCGTTGCTAAGATATTTTAAAGTAAACTTTTTATCCAGAGTTTACTCATGAAATCAGCAGATAATTGGGGATTCCCAATTCAAACATATTTAATTTACTAAAAGTTATTTTTCCACCTTCATAAGGGCGTCAATTGCAATAAGGTAGGTCTGCAAAAGGAATCAATAACAAAGACAAGGTTATTCAAATCAGCGCTTACAGCCTAAAGTCTTATAAACAATACTGAGGGCTGTTCAAAAAATGGCGAGATACAACTGCACCCATTTAGCATAAGTGCTTTATTAAAGACATTAAATTCAGCTCATAGCTACTTCCAACTCTTTAAACACCTGAGAATATGGAAGCCTAATAACTGCAATATCTAGCTACTAAATTATAAAGAGCTATCTCCTCATAATTGATGATACTGAAGCTAAAGTCCAGATGTATTTTATAATAACCTTCATAATGTGGACCTCTCTTGAGAAATTTTTATATGCCCAAGGCTTGAAAAGTTCACTACAGCAAAATACTTCCTAAGGCATACAGAGCAGAAGATAAAAAGGCCCTAGTTACAGAAAGTCTTAAAATTCGCAATAGAGGGACAGACGGTGTTAAAAGACGTTGGCTTTTAAATTAAAGACTCTAGCATATTTTGCAAATTCCAAATGAACCAAGAACTGAACAAAAATTCCTAAAGTGAATTAAAGTGAATCCTCTAATCGCGGTCTTTTCTGTAGTTAAATGCTTCCATATAATCTGATATAGCATTGTTCTTCAAACAAATATATGAACTTACAAATTGCACTCATAAATTTAATGGCAGTTTTCACACTTTCTATTCCATACATTCAAGAAAATAAAAATTAAAAATTTACTACGGAAGTTAGTCACATTTTATGTACCAAAGTAACTCAACATTTTCAGGGTTGTAGCCCCCATTTTATTAGTGGATTCACTCTAGATTCAAGTAAAGTGATATAGTACAGCAACAAGAATTCAATATTTAGAATTAAAAAGTTTCCTTGTTCAGTGCTGGCCACAGGACATGCATTTCCTGATGAGCTAGTGCGGGTTCTGAACAATAAAATTATTGGTTATCGTATAATAAATTGTCTGGCCACATTTTTTAAAGATAGTTTACTCAAACGTACTCAGACAGTAAATTATACACATTCTAAATATTTATACAGCTAATAATTATTTATTTATCAGATTCATTCACAAGGCGAGTATTTCAATGTTTAAATATACATTTTTACTTAAATTGTGAGGCAACCTAATATAAAATGAAGTGGCTTTGTAAGTTATAATTAAGAAAGCATATGTTCTGGTGATGGTGTATACTATTTATAATGGCTTCTAGTACAAGAAAATTAACTCAAAGAGTAATCATTTGATATTTTTATCTTACGATTCGAAGCTTAGGCAGATAATTCTTTTGCAGAGAAGAGCTAAGGAAAGGTACCGCATTTTACTTCTAGTCCATAGTTTTACGTTTTTAAATAATTTTCTAAACAGTCTCAAAATTCAAGCCGTTAAAAATAACTGAGTAATGTTAGCCGTAAAGACATATACACAGGTTAAGCGTTTCTTATATTAATTAAAATTATCTCTTATATTGAAGCTCTCAACTATTTTAAGGATTTAATTAGAATCTGGTTTAATAAGGCAGCTAGTCAAACATTTATAAAGAAAATTAATTTGATCATGTGAATTGATTAATTTAAGATACTGCGCATTAAACTTTCAAAATTAGAATCAAGAACTATGTAATAAAAAAAATTTGTATAACTGAAGATGATAGTTAATTTAATAATATCCCTGGCCGGCAGTTCAAATAATATCATTAAAAAAACATTTGATGCACATTGTTAATTTATCTGAAGATCAAATTACTAGCCTTAATCAATCGTTTATTTCTAAAAATTTAATTATTAAGGGACATTTCCATAATACTTTTTAAACAAGGACAATTATTTCTACATGAATTATTTACTATTGGTAAACACGCCAGATTTTGATATTATAACACAAATTAAGTCACGCATGATTGTAGTAACTATTATATGAAACACTTTAAAATTATAATTAAGATTATGTGCTATTTCAGAATTAATATACATCTAATTATTTACAAATAATAAATCTGATTACAAAA